ACATTGTTAATGTTGTTTAATGTTAGTTGAGTTAATGACAATAAAGCTTAAGTGTTCATGTGTTGATATGTGTGTATATGTGTGTTTGCGTGCGTACGTGTGTGTGTGAATTTTGTTTGTGTGTGTATGTTTGTTTGGCTAGTATGGACTGTGCAAGTGTATATAACCATTGATGAATAATTAAATGATGAGAGAAAGTGAATGGGGATGTTATAGTGTTAGGTTACATGAAATTTATTTCTTGATACGTGTTACTTGACACCAGGCATTCAAAGATCGAACGATGTTTGTTTAAAAATATTGATGATGATGATGATGATGATGACGACGACGATGACGATGATGAGGAGGAGGAGGAGGAATACAGCATGTTTAAAAATGGAGCAAGACGGTTACAGAGGAAATTATGATGAAAAAATTTAAAATTGTATTTCTATTTAGAATTTAGTTAAAAATCATGTTACGGTTACGACATCATCATCATCATCGTTGTCGTCGTCATCGTCATCATCGTCATCATCATCATTATCGTCGTCATCATTATCATCATATCAAAAACAACAATATCAACAGTCTCACTAACATAACAGCCATCATCACCATCAGTACCATTATCACAATTATCCTCATCACCACCATCACCATCAGTAGCATCAGTGTCATAATAATCATTATCACCACCATCATCATCACAACTACCACCATCATCATCACAACTACCACCATCATCATCACAACTACCACCATCATCATCACAACTACCACCATCATCATCACAACTACCACCATCATCATCACAACTACCACCATCATCATCACAACTACCACCATCATCACCACCATCCGTGTTGAGCAGCAATAACGAACAACGTCACCACCAATTAATCGAACGTTTACAGACATTCGTTATTATGAAAAGAGCAACATTAACAACAACAACAACAACAATAATAATAATAATAATAATAGCAACCACAACAATTACAACAACAACAACAACAATAACAACAACAACAGCAGCATTAATAACAATAATAATAATAATAGCAATAATAACAACAATAACAATAATAAAATGCTTGTAACACCAACAATCATGAGAAAGACGATCACAACAATAATTATCATGACAATAATAACAGCAATACATAGTCACTGACAAGAAGAGTAGAAGAAGAACGCTGAAACGCAACTTAAACTTACACATTGCAAACTCTTACCAGCATCATTAACAACATTTTAAAGATATTATTAATGTTGCTGTTATTGTTAATGTTATTGTTGTTATTGTTGTTTTATTAATATATACAAAGATCATTAAAATTTGAGATGCAAACGAACAAAAACGACCCCAAAATGCCAGAAGTTTGGAGGAAACTTTATCAACACCAGAGTGACAAACGCATAAACATTAATGTATGCATAACCAACACAACAATCATTATTACATCAATGCCAATGCGCAACAGTATAAATACTATAAAGGAGTTTTAAATTAACAACATTTTGAACCACAACAACTTTAGCAACAAAATATATACAATACAAACGTTGCAGCATCAACAACATCAACAACAACAAAGTCAACAACAACGACGACGACAACCACAACAACAACAACAACAGCAGCAACAACAACAGCAACAACAAGAACAAGAGTAGCAGCAAGAATACTTGAGCGTAAGTAATTTGTGGCCAGTAGGTGGTTTGTTGTCTGCATGCGCCTGTCTAGCCATCCAACGACTCCTAACATGTCATTATGTTTATCTGCTCCCATACAAATTTTTGTGCACTTGTGCAAGTCTGTCTCTCTTTCTTTTTTTATCTCTTTTTTTCTCTCTCTCATTTTCTCTCTTTCTCTCATTCTCTTCCCCTCTTTATCTCTCCCCCCCTCTCTCTTCCCCCTCTCTCTCTCCTCTCTCTCTCTCTCTGTTTCGCTACATGCCTCTGCCTGTCTGCACGTATGTCTGGATGTCTAGCAACAAATTGTTATTGTGATCTGCGTCTACCCCATGCTAGTATTACTATAACAGTTAATATGATAGTTAACAAAATAATAAAGTATATTAGAGTTGATGTTGTTTATGCTGTTGTTGTTTTATTGTTGTTTGTTGTTGTTGTTGTTGTTGTTTGTTGTTGTTGTTGTTTGTTGTTGTTGTTTGTTGTTGTTGTTGTTGTTTATGATGTTTATGATGTTCTAACAAAGGAAACGTGACTACACAATACATATATAGTTATGAAGATATCCATATTTCTGAACGCATTGTAATTTAGGAGTTTTAGATTTGTTAGAGTGGCTTCAAGAACACTACGTACAGTAATAAGTAAGAAATAAGTTGGATATAAGCGATCAAAATGGAGAATGAGAAAATGATGACGTCAGCAAAACTGGATGGCTGGATTTCGAAGAGTTTGCATCATAAGGATGATAGAAAAAAAAAGTTTAAATGTTTACAATGCTGCTTGTATTAATGTTTCTTTTAATTATTATTGCCAATGCTAACAATTTTAATTATTATTATTGTTATTATGGTTTTTGTTGTTATTATTATTGTTATTTTTATTAATTCTATCATCATGATGGTCGACAGGATGTCGGTGTTTATCGGCGTATGAAATTATTATTGTGCGTGTGTATTTGTTTGTTTGTGTGTGTTTTTTTATTTGTTTGTTAGTGTGTGTGTATGTATGTGTGTGTGTGTCTTTATTTGTTTGTGTGTCTTTATTTTTTTGTGTGTCTTTGTTTGTTTGTATGTATGTATTTAAGTTTTTATTTGTTCGTTTGTGTGTGTGTATGTGTATGTATTTTATTTGTTAGTTTGTTTGTTTGTGTGTGTGTTTTTGTTTGTTAGTTGTTGTTGTGTGTGTGAGTGTGTGTGTGTCTTTATTTGTTTGTGTGTGTGTGTTTGTAAGTGCACGTATTTTTGCTTCTGTTTACTTTAAGTGCAAAAAATATTTATTTATTTGTTCAGATTCGTATGTGTAACTAAGTTTGTCGTAGGTGAGTTAATATGAAAAATGAACTTATAAATAAAAATAAAGTAAATTAATTAATATGTGCGTGTGTGTTGAGCGTTTTCATCTGAAAATAATGAAAAAAAACAATAATAATAACAAACGAGTTATTATATTCAAAACATCAGCAGCGGATCATCTGCCGCACATTGTTTCAGTTGAGACATTTGTATGGTAGCAAGAGAGAGAAGTTGTGTGGGTGGGCCAGCAAACATGTAACGCCTGTACACAATCACGTAAAATTAAAAAGAAGAATTTTACTGTACTCAAACAAAATGTTGCAAATCAGTTAAATCTTAAATGTGATTATGTTCCTGGTCAAACAACATCACATGTTTTCTTCCTTGGTGAAATGTCATGAAACCACAAACTAGCCCATCAAAACATTTGTTTTTTTTTCTAAGTTGAAATTGATGACTGCGATTTATAAAAATATTACAGATATATTCTTAGATTGAACTATTAATTGCTGACAAAAGATAAAAAACTGCAGATGATAATGTTATTTTATTACAAGCTTTTTATCACCAAAATCATCAAACAATGCGCATTAAATTTTGTTTCCTAAACAAACTTAAGCAATATTTCACGCAGACACGCACAAACACTCACACAAACACAAACAAACATGAGCACATGTGTTTTAAACGAACAGATAAACACGAAAAGACACGAACAAACATACGGAAGAAAAAATTTATGCAGGAACATATGAATGATGATTCATCGTTGCGTGGTGTGGGTAATTTGTAATTTATCAAACAAACTTCTGACTTTCTCAACAGACAAGACTTACGTGCTCCGATCATTTATAACAACAGCCAGCATACATCCTACACATGTGTGTGTGTGTGCATGAGTGTGTGTGTGTCTATATAATTGTGTATGTGTGTGTGTGTGTGTGTGTTTCTGCATTGCATATGCATGCCTGCTTATATCTGTGTCTTTTTGATATTTTACAAATTACCAAATATTATTATTTTTACGTTTTGTTCATTTTCAACGTACAAGTATATGTTAATGTGCGTGCATGTGCATGTGTGTGTGTGTGTGTGTGTGTGTGTGCGCATGTATGTGTGTGCATGTGTGTGTGTGTGCATGTGTGTGTG